CCTCAGTCTCTCCTACAGCAGTGCCCTGATGCCCTCAGTCTCTCCTACAGCAGTGCCCTGATGCCCTCAGTGTCTCCTACAGCAGTGCCCTGATGCCCTCAGTCTCTCCTGCAGCAGCGCCCTGATGTCCTCAGCGCTTGCGCATAGCAGTGACATGGTGCCATTACCTCTGCAGGACTGAATGAGAGCTCAGTAATTTTGCTTGCTGACACTATGCCTCCCTCTAGTGGAGTGAAGCAGAAAGGACACCACTGCCTTCACTTTCCTGACTTTTCAATCAAGGGAATCTCACAACCTCTAACTAACAACTGCAGCTCCATTTTAAACCTTCACCTTGAGATATAATTATGTCTGGGCACTTGGTAGTACAGTGGTCAGCATTGCTGACAGGCAGCACTGGGACCCTGGGTTCAGGACAGTTCCTGGGGTGCTGTTTGCCTGGAGTCTGTATGTTCTCCCCTCCCTGTGTTTGTGTGGGATAAAAACTGTCCCAGCTGCGAGTGTGTCTCTGTCTGTGTGTGCTGGACTGGTGTCCTGTCCAGGGCTCACTGCTTGCTGGATAGACTCAGGATCCCCTACACTTAATAATGTTGTTGAAGCTGAACCCTGGCTTCTTTCGGCAAATGACAGGGGGAGACCCTCCAGTCAAGATAGGAAGCAGAACTCTACACAAAGAGCAGCGGGGGTCTGGAACAACTTCCCCAGCCATTTTGTTGAAGCCGATACACTGGCTTCTCTCAGGAAATGGCTGTGTGAGATCCCAGGATCAATTAGCAACTGAGCCATGAAACGAGATGGATGAGCTGAATGTCTCTTGTTGTCTGATGTTCTTCCTTTCTTGAGTTTTTTTATTATATCATTGGCATTTTCACATTTTTCCCCAACACTCAAGTCATTAACTTAAACACGGGGACTGGAATGTGATGACCTTTGCCATAGTCCTTCCTCTTCGACACCTGTTTCGTTCCCAGTGGCTCAGGCTGCCTGGAATCTCTTGTCTCTGCTCAGCTCTGACTTCCACACTGCCAGATCAGTGCTTCCCGAGGCCTGGGCTGCTTATCTCTCTACACGTGTACCAGACTTTCCAGGTTCACATTACTACAGTGAGCAATCAAGTAACGATACAGCTTCAGTCTCTTTTCCACAGTGTTCTAAACTCCACTTGCTTCTCGTACAGTCTTCCTAATGTTCCGTCCTAATCCACCTGGTGCTGCAGTTCCTCTCTCCTCCCCCTGATCTGTGTGCAGTGAGGCAGCTGTGTGTCTCCCGGCTGGGGCTGCTGGTGCAGAATGACCCCTGTGTGTCTCCCAAGAGGGGCTGCTGGTGCAGAATGACCCCTGTGTGTCTCCCAAGAGGGGCTGCTGGTGCAGAATGACCCCTGTGTGTCTCCCAAGTGAGGCTGCTGGTGCAGAATGACCCCTGTGTGTCTCCCAAGTGAGGCTGCTGGTGCA